TAACGAACTTTTAATACCAAATTTGAAACAATTCTGGTGGATAATGTCGCTAAAATCATCAAAATACCGAATATCGGGATGAACTATTATATTGGGGCTATACGAAGACGCGGCCCTGAACAGACAATTTTTTTGGCTTAGGCTTAAGCATCCGTTACGAACTTCAAATGCTACATTTGAAACGATTCCGGTGTATAATGTCGCTAAAATTATCAAAATACCGAAAATAGGGAGGTATCACTAGATGGGGGCTACACAAAGACGTGGACCTGCACAGACAGGTTGGTGCGCACTATAACTCCCGAAGAGAGTATTCGACTTGGTTCAAACTTGGTACATTGCTCTATTTTTGTCAAACTTAAATCGAGTTCGGATATGGGCAACATTGGTCCGCTACTTCTGGTACCTCCCCCATATAACGAAAAGAAAATAATTTACTTTATAGAAAGTGAGAGGATCATCCACTTTTGTGCAAACGTTGCAAATCCCAATATTTTTTCAGTGCTATTCCGTACCTGACGAAAATGGACAATATCGGCCTACTCCACCAAGCACCTCCCCCACAAAAGGTAAAAAATTGGGAGAATTATAATTCTCATAAAATTTGAGATAAGAGTTCGACTGATTTCACATCCCAATAATTTAATTAACACAAAATAAGGTGTGAAGGTAGGATATATCGGACCTCTCCTTCTGGCAATCCCCAAAATGGGTCAAATTTTTGAATATATATAATTATTCAAAAATGTGACCTGTTGTGGGAGAATTCTTTTTGCACAATGGGCTACACTATTAAACGCATAATTTTTTTTTAAAATACCCAGAGCTTTTCACCCATGATTTTCTATCCCAAGGTCCTTGTAAATTTAAAAAAATCGATGAGTTTGTAAGTACTCCTTTCTTACAAAACTCCACGAATTTAGATGAAAGGTCCTGGAAGAGTCTATTTTTTAAATATCTAAAATATCTGATATCTGATCAAAAAAAATTTTTTTGATTTTTTTTTTTTTTTTTTTTTTTGTAATTTGTGACGATTTCTGATTAGAATTTTGGTATCTTAAAATATCCAACAATTTTTGGTTTTTGGAGGTCCGTAAAGGTTTGTTAAAAAAACTCACAATTTATGAGAAGGCCCATGAAAAAATGTTTTAAAAATCGGAAGTTTTGGTAAGATTGTGCTTAAATAAGTTTCTCAAAAAATACAAATCATATTCCGAAATCCTTGAACGAAATGTCTTAAAAATCTATGATTTCTGATCAAAAGGTATTTAAAGCTACATGCCTTCCAGAATATCTACGATAATTGGTCAAAAGGTCCTCCACAAATTTCTCAAAAACAAATCTACGACAATTCTGATAAGTAGGTCACTGAAAAAAAATTTTTGGAAAAAATCTTTGGCTTCTGATTCAATTTCCTGGAAAACACTTTCTAAGAAAATATTACCAAAACAGTTATTATTTGTGATCCAAAATTGAACTCAAAAATTTCTTGAAAATTCAAAAAATGTTTATTTCTTATAAAATTCTTTATTTCTGATAAAAAAAACGATCTTCAAATATTTTCCATTAAAATATATGACTTCAAATCCAACGGTTTTTAAAAAAAAAAAATGTTCTTAGAAACTGATCCAAAAGGCTTTTTTTAAAAATTCAGGAGTTTAGACAAGGATACCAGGTCCTTTCAAAAAAATCTTAATGTCCAAAAAATCAAATTCGAAAATTCTAAAAAATTTTCAAATATGTAAAGTTTTAGATTATTGAGCTTTTGTTCAGTAGATCCTTCTTCAATGAATTTTAGTCAGAAAATCCTTGAAAAAATATTTTCGTCAAAATATCCCTGTGCATTTCTTTTTAAATATACGATTTCTAATCCGAAGGATCTTCAAAATGTATTTTTAATCCAGGATTTTTTTTGATATTAAGATCCTGACCCTTCAAGACCGTCTCTTGAAGATTCCAGCTTCAGCCGTTTATATTTATAGGTATTCCCTCCGATCAATTCCCCTCTTTACACAAAATTTTCCTCTTTATACAGTTTCTCTTTTTCTCTTTTTCTCTACCTCTCTCTCTCTCTCTTTGTTAACCCTTGTCGAACTCGAATAAAATTCATTTGGTTTGTATCTTTGCTAAAAAAAAAATTAAATTTATTTTCAGGAAATTACCGCCTAAATATATTTATTTATATTTAATTCTGTTAATGTTTATACCCTCCACCATACTATGGAGGGTATATTAACTTTGTCATTCCGTTTGTAACTCCTCGAAATACTCATGTCAGACCCAACAAAGTATATATATTCTTGATCAGCGTAAAATTCTAAGTCGATTTAGTGATGTCCGTCTGTCTGTCTGTCTGTCTGTCTGTTTGTCCGTCTGTCTGTCTGTTGTAATCACGCTATCTTTCGAATGAATTGAGATAGATGGCTAAAATTTTGCATATATGTTTATTTTTCCAGTAGGCAGGTTAAGTTCGTAAATGGGCCATGTAGGTCCACGTTTTCATATAGCCCCCATATAACGGTACCTCCCTATATTCGATATTTTGATGATTTTAGCGACATTATTCACCGGAATTGTTTTAAAATTGGTATTTGAAGTTCGTTATGGGAACTACAGTCTGTGACAGAAAATTGTCTGTGCGGGTCCAGGTCTTCGTATAGCCCCCATATAATGGTACCTCCCGATATTCGGTATTTTGATGATTTTAGGGACCCTTTTCCCGGAAGTAATTTAAAATTTGGTATTTGAAGTTCAAAATGGATACTACACCCTAAGACAGAAAATTGTCTGTGCAGGTCCAAGTCTTCGTATAGCCCCCATATAACAGTACCTCCCGATATTCGGTATTTTGATGATTTTAACGACATTATTCACCGGAATTGTTTCAAATTTGGTACTTGAAGTTCAAAATGGATACTACACCCTAAGACAGAAAATTGTCTGTGCAGGTCCACGTCTTCGTATAGCCCCCATATAACGGTACCTCCCTATATTCGGTATTTTGATGATTTTAGCGACATTATTCACCGGAATTGTTTCAAAATTGGTATTTGAAGTTCGTTATGGGAACTACAGTTTGTGACAGAAAATTGTCTGTGCGGGTCCAGGTCTTCGTATAGGCCCCATACAACGGCACCCCCTTATTTTCGGTATTTTAACGATTTTTAGCTACATAATTTACCGAATTATTTTTTCAAGTTTCGCATTTGAATATTGTAATGGCTTATGACAAAAGTTGCCCATGCAGGTCCACGTCGTCATATAGACCCTAATTTAACGGCTACATTCGATATTTCTAAGATTTTAATGGATTTTATTTATTTATTTTATTTATTTTTTTTTTTTAAATTGCCAAATTCGTTCGAAATGGTGGAGGGTATTCAAAGATCGGCCCAGCCGGCATTATAGCTTTTTCACTTGTTTTATATTTATATCTGTATATTTTTGTTTTTATACCCTTCACCACAAGGTGGTCAGGGTATAATGTCTTTGTGCATTTGTTTGTAACAGACAAAAGGAAACGAGATAATCTGCATAGAATCACTTTCTGAGTTGATTTATGCATGTTAGTCCGTCTGTCTGTCCGTCCGTCTGTCCATGTATTTTTGTGAACAAAATGCAGGTCGCATTTATTATCCGATTGAGATGAAATTTTCCAAACGACATTTGTTTGGCCCAAGGACGAACCCTATTGAAATTGGAGATAATCGGTGAAAATTTAGATATAGCTCCCATATATATCTTCGTCCGATTTGCCTTTTATTGTGCACCAAACGTGTAATATCAGCCCGAATAGTATGGAATTTTGCACATACAACCAAATTAGGCCTGAAAATAAGTATACCAAATTTGATCGAAAACGGTTCAGATATAGCTATAGCTCCCATATATATTGTTCATCCGATTTGTTATTTTTGTCCTCCACAGCCGTAATATGCACTCCGTAACAACAATATTTGGGGAAATATATCAAATGCAGCTCAGAAATACCTTTGCTAAATTTTATCGAGATCGGTTCAGATTTGGATATAGCTCCCATATATAACTTCGTCCGATTTACCTTTTATTGTGCACCAAGCGTCTAATATTTGCCCAAATTGGATGAAATTTGGCACATACGACCGAATTGAGTCTAGAAGGTAGTATGCCAAATTTGGTGAAGATCGGTTCAGATATAGCTATATTTATGTTTATATTAATATATATTTCCTTCCGATCAGTCTCCCTCATTCTCTCATACAGTTTGTCTTTCTCTCTCTCTCTATCTATCTCTTTTTATTAACCCTTTTCGATCTGGAACAAAATTCGTATGGTTTGTATCTTTGCTAAAAAAATTTAAATTTATTTTCAAGAAATTACGGCCCTAAAATATTTATTTTTATTTAATTCTGTTAATTTTTTTTTCATTCCAAATGTCACAAATCTGACACCAACAAGAGTTCACCTTTCAATTCTTTGTAATTTCCAAAAAAAAAAAACAATTACAAACATAATTTAGTAGAGGGTGGTAACCAAGAAAAGACCACGAGCAAGTGCATGTGTTTTTTCCGTACCCACACCGGCTTCTCTAACAACCTCCCCTCCCCACCCCACCACCTATTCCTGCGATCTATGCTCAGCTACATCGATGTATTCTAACAACAAAATAAAAAAACAAAATATCCTCCTCCATGTGTACCTATTTTCTATTTTGACAGATGACAGCTGTCATATGTTTAGTGCCTGACTGCCTTTTGGAAATGAAATTAGTGAGCTATTAATAACAATAACAACAAATATTAGAAAGACAGGAGAGAGGGGGGCGGTAGAGGGAAGACAAAACATTTTAGTTAGTCAGCGAAGTATTTAGTTGCTTTCCATAAAATTTAAAGCATTCTCTCGTTCTCTTTTCCCCTCCATAAATGTTGAGAGAGAAAGAGCGCAAGTAGCTAATGTCTTGATTAACCTTTTTTTTTTCTTCTTATCCGTCTTAAGATTTTTTAATTGAAATAATCGTTTACCTATTTATTTTCCTATTGGAGCTGTTGTCGGCACCACTCTCACACGGTTAACAGTTACTCTCTCTCTCTGGCTCTGGGCTCAGTTGTTATTTTTGTTTGGTTTCAACTCTCTCTCTCGCTCACACACAAATTAAAATGTTACAAATGAGTACTGAGAGAGGGGGGTTTTCTTGTTTATCTGCAATTGCTGGGGTTTGTATGAGTGTTGGAGAATGGCTGGTTTGCCAATGTTGTTATTATTGTTGTTGCTGCTGTTGTTATTACTCTTGTTGCCAGTGTTGTGTGGTGGTAATGTTGTAGCTAGCTCCTTGCTGGGCACATATTTTCTGTTATTTTGTCAAAAAAAGAATTGTTTATATTTTTATTTATTTCTTATTTTTTTATTAAAAAAAAACTAACTATTTTTAATTAGAAACATTCATTTCTTCATTAATTTTTATTTTTGCAATATCGAAAACATTTCTCTTGATTTTGCACTCTCTTGCTCACTCTCTCTTTTCATTAAATACAACAGGCGCCTTATCTTGCCCCAAACTTATTGCTTTTTCTTTTTTTATCTCTTTGATATTTTTTTTTATTTATTTATTATTATTTTTTTCCAACACTTCCTGGCGGCCAATTCACTTTCATATCATTTAATTTTATTTTTTTGCTTCTTCTTCTTCTTCTTGACGCAATTTTTAAATATATTTTTGTTTTGTTTACTTTTTTTTGTCGAATATTTCACATCAAATATTTTTTTTGGAATATTTACACATATTTTTCTGACATTTCTATTTCCGAGTCGGTCCGCGGTTTTGTTGTGGTTATCATTTGATACGGATTTTTTTTTTTTTGCCTTTCCTCTTTTTTCTTCTCCTTTATTTTTTTTTTTTGTCGTGTCTTTCGGGGGGACAAAAAAAACTGCGCACGCAAAAACAAAAACTTAACTAAAAATTCTCCGTTTCCAAATCACTTTTACGGATCATTGTCGGCATTTAACTGTTCGACGTTGCGCAAAACAACCACTGCGAGACGATGGCGACGACGGCAGCGTCGTGCTTGTGGTCGTTCGTCGTTTGACACAAGAACAACAACAAAAAGACGACGACAACACCAGACCAACATGTGCTAGGCTCCCGTTAGTGTTGTCAGTCTTAGATGTGGAATAAAAGCGTTGTAATTTTTTTTAATTGCAATTTTAATTTATCTTCAAAATTTCTTCTTTTTTGTAGAATTAGCGCCATATTTACAATTTTTCTTCGATTTTTTTTTAAAGGAAAATGGCGAATCTTTTTTAAACAATGAATTTATTACCAGTCGAGCTTTTTTAGGCAGTACTAATTTCCATGGCCAATGTATTATTTCCATGGTATCGAAAATTGTTCCATTCCAAAACCTAACTATAACCTCAAGAGAAAAATAGTTTTTTTTTAAATCTTCCAATTTTTCCTTTTATTAATTTTATCTCTTTCATTAAATTAAAAATATGTTATTTGTTAAGGAAAATTATTTTTCGACTTGAGAACTTTTTATTTTAGCATTTTTCGGATTTTTTTTTATTTTTTTTTTTCAAAAATTTTTTTATTTTTTTTTATTCAAAAAAAAAAAAAAAATAATAATAATAATAAAATAAAAATAAATAAAAAAATATCTTCGATTTCGATATTTTTTTATTAACAAAAATATAAATATTCAGATGAAGACTTGAAAAATTTTTAAATTTAGAAAAAAAAGGCCATTGTATTCGATTTTTCATCAAAAAGTGCTTTGAACTGCATCAACTACTTCATTCGCTTTGAGCGAAATCATAAATTCCATATTCATCCCAGGTTTCTGGTTTAGAGAACAATTTATTGATATGCAGGGTTAGATGAAAAAACTGCAATCAACATCAGACTGCTGTCATTTATAAGCCACTCGTCCGACAGCTGTTAAAATTATTTTAGTGACAGCTCATTATATTATTTACAAGGGTACAAAAGCATTTCGGTGAGAATTTTGCAGACTTAAAGTTATACGTGTTCGGAATTCAACCGTGATAGTGTCATTTCTTTAAATTTTGCTGGAAAACCACAAGTGGTTATCGTTAAAGCAGCGTAAAGTAGCGTAGCTTGATGAAGTCAAGGAAGTGGACGGAAGAAAACAGCACCATCAGCAGAAATGGTTCGAAAAGTAAAAAAGAAGCAACATGGTCGAAACCCGCGTCGCAGTGGTCGAAAAATGGCTCGTGAGCTGAACATATCGCAATATTCCATTCGGCAAATATTGAAAAATGAGCTCGGGGTAAAGCCATTGAAATTCCAAAAAGTGCAAGAACTTCAACCGCAACATAAAGAAAATAGGCTCAAAAGAGGTAAAGAGTTTTTTCGCTTGGCTTGGTGAACTGCTGAATTTGGTTTGGGGGTCTCCGATGAGAAAACATTCTTTGTCCAGCAGTTTGTAGACAAAATGTTCGTATTTACTTGCCAAAGAGGTCAGCTGAAAATGTGCACCAGAACTTCGGTTGGCCACTAGAACTCAACCGCTGGCTGGCTATGGTGATGGTGTGGGCCGCCATAACAGCCGATGGTCGCTCTCCGCTCGTATTAATTGACCGTGGCATCAGAATAAATGACGAATATTATCGCGAAAATATTCTGGAGGGTTTATTAAAGCCTTGGGCACGCAAACATTTTGGCCGCAGACCTTGGACATTCCAACAGGACTCAGCACCATCGCACTCAGCACGCGCCACCTAAGAATGGTTACAAAATTACTTTCCTCGCTTGATTTCCAGCGCACAATGGCCACCAAAATCTCCGGATACCAATCCGCGTTGGACTATTGTGTCTGGAGTATTTTAGAAAACAAGGTTGAAGCCCCCGCTTCGCCGGGAATGGGCCATAATACCGCAGAGCAACATTCGGGCAGGGTGTGACGGTTTCATTGGCTGTTTGAAGGCCATAATTCCTGCCAAAGGTGACCAATTCGAACAAATCTGAACTTATTTTTAAATTTTATGATATTTCCGACATTTTTTGATTTTATTCATTAAAATTTAAAAAAAAAAAATTTAAATTTATGGCGTTTGACTTGATGCAGTTTTTTTTTTTACCCTGTATATACCTTATTTTCTATAAAAAAAGTCCTACAGACCAAACACACATTTCAGTAAAATGTTGTTAACCTACTTAAATTAGTTCGAAGCTAGAGTGCTTTCCACAGACGAAAGGACCGACGGAAATAGTTAGATCGTCATAGAATTTAATGCTGATCAGGGTTATATATACTTTGCAGGGTCTAAAACGTATATTTCGAGGTGTTACAAACGGAATGACAAACTTAATATACCCTTCAAACTATATTGGAGGATATAACAATGCTCTCATGGGAAGTGATTTGTGGTAAATATTTTTTACGAGTTTTACCAAAAAAAATTGCATATTCCTGAATTTATTTTATTTCAAAGTAAAAAAATCGTCGCATTGACATCACTGCTAAATTTTATTAATAAAATATAACTTAAATTATTTATTTATTTATTTCGAAATTTTCGTACCCTATGTTAAACAAATTCAAGTCAAGTTCTTCGTTTAAGAAATTGTTTAATTTGAATATAGAACTTATTTTCTGTAGAAAATATGCTCTGAGAAATTAATTTTATAAGAAAAAATTCTTCTCAATTTACCCCTATAAATATCTCTCTCCAGAGTTTTCCCAAAAAAAAAAAAAAAAAAAAAAAAAAAAAATTGGCATATTCCTGAATTTATTTTATTTTAAAGTAAAAAAATCGCCGCATTGACATCACTGCTAAATTTTATTAATAAAATTATTTATTTTTTTAATTCTAAATTTTCCAAGTCTATGTTAAACAAAATTAAGTCAAGTTCTTCGTTTATGAAATTATTTTTTGTGGAAAATCTGCTCTGAAATATTAATTTTATAAAAAAAAAATCTTCTCAATTTACAATTTACAAATTTTTCTTCGCGAGTTTTCCCAGAAAAAATGGCATATTCCTGAATTAATTTTATTTTAAAATATAAATAATCTCACGAATAAATTTATTTTTATTTTAAAATAAAATAATTAAAATCGCCACTTTGACATCACTGCTAAATTTTATTAATCAAATATAATTTTAATTATTTTATTTTTTTAAGGGGAACATTTTCTTATCCTATGTTGAACATTTTGAAGTTAAGTCCTTTTTAAAGATATTGTTTCATTTTCATATAGAAATTATTTTTAATAGAAACACTGCTCTGATAAAAAATTAATTTTATAAAAAATGTTCATCCTAATTTACACCTATTCTTATAAAAATATAAAAATAAATATAAAAATAATAATATAAAGAAAATAAAAGAAAAATTCTTTACGAGTTTTCCCAAAAACAATTGTGATATTCATAAATACATATTAATTCATAGTAAAAAAAAATCACCACATTAACATCACTGGCCGCCAATGCAAACTGGAAATGTGTTAACCAAAGCAGCAACAGCTCTCACTAAAAGGGGGGTTTGGCAAACATCGAAAACAAAAACAACACACAACCTAACCATAACAGCAGCAGCAACAACAACAATAACAGAATGGAAACAAATATGATCAATGTGCTAAGTGAGAAAAGAGAGAGGGAGAGTGTTTTTGAGAAGCATACGATTTGAGTAAGGAATATAGGTGAGAACAAAACCATTTGTGAGAATAAACAACACCTGTATGGATGTGGGGAGCAAATAAAGAGCTCCCCATTATTTGTTATTTACAAAATTGAGAAATATGTGCTCTCTCTTTCTCTCTCTCTGTGTTTCTTTATTTGATGATTTAATCAGCTGTTTTTTTTTTTTTGGGAAAAATTAGATGTTAAGTGCAGAGTGAGTATTAATTTGTTGTTGTTGTCTCAGATATCAATTGCAATGTGGTGTGGATGGAGAAATAGCCCCCATGCCATGCCAACGACAGCTCACTGGAGTTATTGTTGTTGCTGTTGCCATTGTGCGTATTTTATCACATGAAAATAATGTTGAAGGGCTTCTTGTGGTCGCAATGGTGGAAGTGACCCACCAAAAATTTTGTTTTTTTTTCTCATAATTATTAAAATTTATTGTTGCTTATGATATGGAGTATTACTTAAGTTGTGCTAATCGCTAATCAAAAGGGCGGTCAGCCGGTCTTGTGTTTTATCAATGAATTTCAGGGTTACCCCTGAAGAAGGGAAAATATGGCCTTCAACACTTTCTTTACAAAGTCTTCTCAATTCGTATTTTTTTTTTTTTTTTTTGAAAATGGGTTAATTGAAAAAATGTACACAATATTTCACAGGCCCATTAAACAAATATGTTGATATGTAAATGTTTACACATACATACCTACACACTAACCAAAAAAAAATTACCTTCTTCGTTATGTTTTCCATGGTAATTAACTTAACTGGTCATAATCATGTCTGGCTCAATGTTTGTCAAAAAAAAAAAAAAAAAATTGGTAGTTGATGACATTTTCATTAAAACAAATTCCCACTTGACATGACATGACAACAACAACTACAAAACAATACAACAAATTTCCAAATTAAAAATCCAAATTTCAGAGCTAAGTGCTGAAAAGGGAAAGTGTGTCATTCAGGCCACGAGAATGGGGGATACAAAGAGAATAGGATTTTGATAAAAAAAACTGCATTTACCCTGGCTGACCCTGGCAAGTTTTCCCCCTCTTTAGGAAATTTTCGAATTAAGATTCCTTGAAATCAATTGATTTTAAATATGTAGTGCCTTCGGCAATATTAAAGATAAAAATATTAGGATTTTTTTGGTAACCCTGGCAAATTTTCCCCCTCCTCCACATTTTTGGAAATTTTCGAATTAAGATTCCTTGGAATCCATGCATTTTGGGTATATAGTGTCTTCGGCATTATTAAAGATAAAAATATGAGGACTATTTTGGTAGACAATTTTAACCTTCAAACTAGTCAATAAAGGGGTCTTTTTGGTCCTTTTTTTAAAAATATACTTAAAAACTCCCTTTATTATTTCAGAGCTAAACAATGAAAAGAGCTTTACAATGAAAAGGGAAAGTGTGTCATTG